CTGACTCTTGGTTTTAGCTCAGGTTGTGATCTCACGGTTCATGGGTTTGAGCCCCACATCAGGCTGCAGCTGGCAGCCCGGAGCCTGCTTGGGATTCTCTCTCTCTCACTCTCTCTCTCTCTCTCCCTTTCTCTCTGCCCCCTCCCCTGCTCATGCTCTCTCAAAATAAATAAACCTAAAAAAAAAAAAAGTTGCATGGCAGCTGACACAAAATTAAACACACCCACATCTCATGGGCTAAGTAAACCAGCTCGGAGGCTGTAACTGGTAGCCAGTTTTAGAACTCTGCGTACATAAGTGATGGAGGGCCAAGGACACAGTGAGAAGTTAGCAGAACCCAGAGCCCAAACTTTGGGCTTCCTGCATCACGTTCTATTTAAGTCATACCACCGTGCCTGTAGCTACCCCACTCTACATCTTGGCAGACCCTGGGTTTTCTCTACCTGATTATTTTCCCAGAGGATTCTGGCATCACCGGTGAGACCCAGGGCCTTCCTCGCAGCTTTAGTCCCTGGCTTCCAAGGAAGGGAGGTTGGAGAGGGGGTGGGAGTTGAATCTTGGCAAGGCAATGAAGATGTTTAGGGGAGTCACCCAGGGCAATGGGGATTTGGAGGTTGGAAGAGGACCATTAATTCTTACACCGTCCTAATGTGAAAGGTCAAACCAACCTGGGTAGTGCCAAGAAGGCGGCATCCAGGCTGGTGAATGTCTGGGGGGAAGGGAGCTGGGGTGTCTGTGCGTAGGCGAGGTGGGAAGGCTGTAGATTTAGGTCAACACGGAAGACTTCACTTTGGACAGCCAGAGTTGGCCCAAAGTATGGAAACTAAATCTGCCTGGGGTTTTGTTTCCTTTCAGAATCAAACCTAACGTGAAGCCTCCTCACGCGTGGCCCCCAAAGCTTGCCTATTAGCAGAAGGCAATTTCCCCTCAACAGACTACCAGGCCTCTCTTCCTGTCAAACAGGTTGCGACTTCTCTGAAATTAGTGTCGGGGTACGTGTGTGTTTAGAAACAAAGGAGAAACTCTCTGGGGATGGTCACCTCCAAATGTTCCAGAGTCCTTCCTCTGGCTAAACTGATGCAAACTCGGGGACTCCTATTTTCAGACCCAAGGAAGCTCAACTCTTTCTTGCCCAGTTACTCTTTAGAGACGTTTCAGGTGTGTCTCCCGAAGGGGGCAGTTAGACCTTTTCTTCCCCCGACTCGGAGAGGGGGGGCGTAGAGGGCAAGGCCTGGGGCGCGAGGACCGACGCAGGGAATGCGGGTGGACGAAGGCTGCCCGCCAGGCAGGCGCAGGACCGCGGGGAAGGCCACGCTCATCCCAAGTCTCCCCCGCCCTCCCCGCGACCGCGGCGGGCGCCCAGGGCTCGTTCAGTTCTGCTTGCCCGGCTGCATGACAATGACGGCTGCAGAAGCTGAGCGCCGCGGCCGCCGAAGGGACCCGGCGCGAAACGGGCTATTAAGCCGGGAATGGCAGCTGGGGGAGGGGGCTATTTATAGAACAAAGCTCGGCTGCGGCCAGCTGCCCCCGCGCGCGGACGCGGCCCCGGCCTAGCCCCGCGGGCCTCGCGTGCTGGGGAGAGGGTCAAACCCGGGGCCTCCCCGCGCGGCAGGGCTGGGCTTTCCCTGGAAGATGGCTGGGTCTAGTCGAGCAACGCTTGCTCACCGAGAATGCTGCTTGTTGGATCAAAGGGACAGAGCCCCGGAAACGCAGGGAGGGCGCCGCGCGGCAAAGCGGGGGAGGGAGGGTAATTCCCAGAAGCTGTTAAATGCCCCCGGTCTGCTCCGGCCCCAGCTGCCGCCTTCCTCGGGCCCCCGGACGCAGAGAAGCTGGAAGAGCAGGCCCGGGGAACACGCCGTGGCCGGCCCGCGCTCGCGGCTGGGGCGGGCGTGCCCCCTATTCGTTCCGCCGCTATCTCCCGCGCGCAGCCGCTGACGGATGGCTCTTTAATAAGCCCCTCGTTAATCTTCCCCCGCCCCTCCGCCCCCTGCCCGTCCGTATTTTCTGGCCCGATAAGGTTAGAGATTTTAGACGGTGAAATGTAGCAAGGAAAGCAAGTCCTCATTGTTCAGCCGGAGCCACTCAGCTGTGTCCCTTCGAACAAATCTCCTTTTTCCCTTACAAAAAAAAAAAAAAAAAATTACAGCCCTTGGGCGTTTTCATTTCAGACCATCACGTCTCCGGAGAAAGGTTCTTTCTCCTTTCCAGCTCCCAGATCTATTTTTCTTCCTCTTTGGCAAATCGTGCCCGACACCCCCTTTCTCCTCTTGCGGCCCCACGCCCCCGCCTGCCCCGTTTTCCTACCCTCCTCTCCTTCAAGGGCAGGCTCCGCAAACCCTCTGGACTGCGCCCGCTCACACCTCCCCCAGGCAGGCCACCGGGGGCTGCAGGCAAAGAATGAAAGAACGAAATCTGAATCCGTTATGACATATCGGAGCAAATTCTCAAACTGGGGAGGCCACTTTCAACGTACGTTTGGCAGGGGTAGGGGGCACGACCTGCCAGCCTCCGCCTCAGGCGGAAATCGTGCCTTAGGCCTGCTCTCCAGGAAAACCGGACTAGTTGACCTTTTCTACCAGACCCTCTGGCCGCAGGTTGAGCGCACGCGTAGGAACGACCCGGACGCCGGGCAAGAAGAGCCCGGCTGCCGCGAGGGGGCGCTGTGCTCGCGCTTTCTCGCCTTAGACCGGGGAAGTCCCGCCGTGTCTTGGTTAGTCCCGGACTCCAGCAAAAAAGGTCCCTCCCGGCCGGGTCAAGCAAAGGCGGAGGAGGGTTAAGACCGGTAGAGGAGCGTCTCGCTAGGCGTCGGGGCTTTAGAAAGCCAAACCCAAGAGATCGGATCTCCTTCTGCGTGCGCCCCACTCTCCCAAACCCTCAAAACCCGCGAGCTGCGCCGGCCCGCCAGGCCCCAGCGGGCCCTTTCACTCACCGCAGATCTTGAGCCCCAGTTTTCTGGTGCATCCATGGGCCACGCCGCACCAGGTGTCATATGCTAAAAAGCAAAAGAGGTGCGATCAGTGAGATTCGGAACGTGGGGGACCGGGTCGAGGGCAAATGTGTTCTGGGGAGGAGGAGGCAGGTCTTTCGCCAGTGCTCCTCAATAAAAACTCCTTCGTGAAAGGAGCAAGAAGCCAGATCCGTGGGCCGACGGGCAGACTCGTGCCCTTCGAGGGCCCATCACACTCCCTTCCTGTTCCCACTTTCAGTTATAGAACGGGGTCTCTGGAAGGCCGAGAACCCACGGGACCCGCCCGTCTCTCCAAGCGACACTGGCAGGGGAGCTGGGGAGGCAGGATCGGAGTGGGACAGGGCCGAACCCACGTGCAAAAGACGGGGCCAGGCCGCTCCTTACCCAGGACCCACCCTCCAGGCCCTGTCCCTTGGCCTCCGCCTTGCGGACTCGAAGGGCGACCACAGCAGCCCGGAAAGGGAACACAGAGGCATCTGGGACCAAAACGTCTCATAATTTCTTGGCGGGTCTCCAGCCGAGTGGCAGCTTAAAATAAACTGGCATGAAATGGGGTCGCGGAAGAGTTCAGGAATTAATTGGGTGAAAAATAGTATTTGACTAGATGATCGGGCTCGCATGGCTGCTCTTCAGTCGGACCCAGAATCGGGAAACAATAGTGCGCCTCTGGTCCTCATCTCCGATCCCTTCTTCCCAACCTGCCCCTCATTAACCCTTCCCTCGGACGTCTCGGGTGTGGAGCGGGAGAACGCAAAGGGAATCGGGCGCCTTTCCTCCGGGTCCGAATGGCAGACCATTCTGCTGCTGTGCCTTCCTTCATTACCAGGCTCAAACTCCTCAGGGTCTATGCTGCCCTCGACGTTCGGCTTCCAGGAAGGTGCACGGGGGTGCCTGTGGCGCCCGCACTCTAACTGGTGTGGTGGGCCCAGAGTGAAATACCCTTCGTATCTCTCAAAGCAAGGCGCCTCCAATCATTCCCATCCCCCACCCCACCCTGGCCCAGCCTTTCAGCCCCGCGCGAATGTTGGTGGTGATAAGGAGAGTGACATCCATTAAACGCGAGGCACAACAGAGCCCCAGCGGGGAGAAGAAATAGACCGACGTCAGTGAGACAGCAGGTCACAGATGGAGTTCCTGCCTCAGACAGCAAATCGGTGCGAAAGCAAAACCCTTATAATAATACCTGGCGGGTAAAGAGCTATTTCCACTCAATAAAGTGCTTTTGCTTTAAACAGCATCTCCACTAATACTCAGAACAACCCTGTGAAACAAGAAGAGTGTTAATCTTAATACTCATTTTACAAATAAAAACATTGAGGTTCAGAGAGGTTAAGCGAATTTTCCAAGGTTACTCTGCTGGGACATTGGCGTTCAGACCCACTGCACTGCCTTTCAGAGTTGGGGGGTTATAGTGAAATAAAGGGGCAGAAAGATGAGGAAAGGAAGTGAGTGATCCCCTTTGGCTCAAGGAAGGTCCAGGAGACCGAGTGGCGGAGAGCTGGGAGAAGGGGTCGCTGGAGCAGGAGGCCGAGTAAGGTTGTGCGGATCAAGCAAGGCCACTTCCCAAGAGAGCTTGGAGGGAGAAACGGAGCCAGCAGGCGGGTAGAGGGTGTGTCTGCAAGGGAGGGTGAGAGCCGGTAGAGAGCCGGGCAAGCGCTTGCAGCTTAGGATGCCCGCTCCGCAGCTAGGCTGCTGGGGGGCGACTGACGGCGTTCTCAGGACAGGTGCTGCACGCTCTTCCCAGGCAGGGTCCTCGACTATCTTCCTTCTGCCTCGGTGGCTTCCGGGCGCGCCAGGCCAGGTGCGGACTCAGGTCAGCGCCTCCACTGGTTCTCGCACCCGAGGTTGGGCGTGTGCGTTAGACCGTGGGCTACCGCCGGGGGTAAGGTTAACGGGGGTAGGGTGGGATGCGGGCAGGACTCTGAGGTGGGTGAACACAGCGATCGCCCAGCCCTATCAGGCAACAAAAAAGGGGCGGGAAATGTGGAGAGGTCTGGAAAAGAAATCCATCAAGGCCAGAGCAACAGACAAAGGCGGGCAGGCCTCGCGTTCCTCCCGGCCTGTTCCGGCCAGCTCGGCCGCCAGTGCCCGGCTCACGTGCCACCAGGGCTGGCGGCTCTCCCGAGCCCCTCTTTGTTGTGTGGGTAATTGTAGCTCGCCTGGGAGGTGGGGAGAGGGAGCTGCAAAGGGAACTGAAACGCAACCTCAGGACTTAAACCCCGGTCTCCGGGGCCAGGAGCCAGTAGCTGCGCCAAAGAATTGGAGAGAGGACTTGCCGGATAACAATCCCCCACCTTCGTTTATGGGAACAATTGACATTTTCTCAAGCTTATAGAAAGTGCCATAAAAGCGTAGCAATAAGCTCTTCTAACCACACTGCCACTCCTAAGCCCCTCTTATATAGAAATTCTGGGGCTGTTACGACTGGAGCTGATAGATTGGTGTGTGTGTGGGGGGGGGGG